GGGCGGGGCCGGTACTAGCACAAAAAGCATAAAACTCTTAACCATAGTTTAAAAAATCAATCAATAAATAGGCTTAATACTCATATTTACTGTTTATTGGGTTAATTTGCATTATATTTATAGAAACACACAGATATAGTGGTAGATTATTTAAAAAAAAACAAAAAAAACGAGGCTGGCTCACAGCCTCGGTTTGGGCCCAGGCCCAGTGGTTGGGGGCCCCTGAGCTAAATTTTATCCAAGCAATTTATATTTAACTTACCATTATGTTTCTAAAAAGCATTTTAACTTTTTACCTAACAACACATTGTCAGAGTCAATCATATGTGATTTTATTAATTTCCCTTATAAAAATCAACTTTTTTTTGATTGATTGTGACATTTATCCATGTTTAATTATCGGATGAACTAAGGACAAATACACATAGGGTTTGTGTGAGTCTGTTCAGTGACCTGACAAGCTCGGGCCTCAGTCTTTACAGGGAGAAACTTCATCTGCTTGATCACGACTGGGGCACACTTTAAACCACCTTTTTGGCAGTGATTTCCCATGGGTCCTATCATCCTATCATGTCATATATTTTGTTGGAACATTTCAGTGTGACAGAGGAATGCAGCCAAACATATACAAGCTCAGAGCTGGGAGTTTTCCACATTGAGGTCTGGCTTTTGAAATCACAGTTGACCTGGATATCATTTCCAAAGCTTTAATTCATGATCTGCTTTGAGTTTCAAAAAGTGGAGCATGATTATGAAGAGAACCTGTTTGATATTCAACCGCAGTACTTAATCTATCTATATAAATGACCTATGTTTCACAGCTGTAAATATGTCAATTATTTTTATTCAAAAATGATGATCTCACTTTATTGAAGATTACCACTGTGATAAGCTGCAAGTTTTAAATTGCAACAGTAACAGTGTTTCTGTGGAGATATTACTTTCATTTATATGTCATTATTTTTACTCAGTTACATGTGTCTTTATTGAACATAAATATTAAAAAAGCACACAAGGACACACAATATAGTGTAAATAAAGACAGACGTTTTCCAAAAGCAAAGCTTACATGGGCTATAATTGTGTTTATAACTTGAATACTGCCATAGAGAAGGAAAGTGATAGAGTAAGGAACATTAGCTAACAGTTCTTAGAAAGGTCCAAGTCCCGTTGCAGCACATTGTGGTCCTCCCACTGTTTAAACAGGGTTATATCACTGTTTGTTCAATGAGCAGCCTCACATGCTACAGCCTCTACAGCCAGCCCCACTGTGTGCTTCTATATCTGCCTCATGTTGTCTCTAAGTAGTTTATTGTTGTGTCTAAGTAGTTTATTTTGGAGGATATTATGTACCAGAGGTTATATATGATGAAGTTCAAACGATGGAAATGAAAACATGATTTTCCTACATACAAGCTGAGCCTTGGAAAACCTGTTTGTATTAGTCATGCTATGTAGCCTGCTGATGCTTGTAGCAGTGTATGTGTGTGTGTTGTGCTATTTATCATGTATTTCAAGGATTTTTTTTTTCCTCCCCCAGGAGCCTGTGCTATATTTAAATTGGCTGTGCTCTTGGTGCAGAGTCCCCGGCACTGTGTGAACATGAATCTAAATCATGTTGCACAGCCCTGTCAAGGCACTCAGCACTTTCCACACTACAATTCAACAAGTGAAAGTGAGAAAAGTGAATTTCTCCTCTTCGTCACTCAAAATGTATTCTTTTAATATATGTTCTGAATTTAGAACCTATATTAGGCCAATGTTATATTGCAATTATTCGTCCTGTAAACCCCCTGTCTATATCCAGTGGTTAAGGTTTAGGCACACTTTATTGTTCTCATGGGAAAACTTCAACATTAGACTCATCCTTCAGTGGACAACCTGTCAGGATATATATATATATATATATATATATATATATATATATATATATATATATATATATATATATATATATATATATATATATATATATATATATATATATATATATATATATATATATATATGTAATTTATTTTTTAAATTATTTACTCTATTCACCTGGTTGAACCTAAACCACTTGCTGTTTATTACTGCAGCTTGAGAAAGGCTATGCCCCAATTACTTTTGCTAATCAATGTGTTTATTTTGTAATATGTAGTAGGCTTAACAGCTTGGAAATGAGAGTGGTCTTACGGCCAGTGACCTCACAACATGAATGAGGTCCATAACTAATCAAACTGGAAATGATCTCTACTAATGGACCTGTTTCAAAGATTAGCAATGTAACTCATTCAGTTAATCACCTCAAATTTGATCAATGGTGTAGGCCTGATGCTATGGTCCATTTGAAAGTGTAATTACATGACAGCCCCTGTGCCAGATGTTGAACCTCTGCTCAAGAGCCAGGGATACCCCTCTGGTGCTGAATAGGGCAATTGACCTGGATAGATTTTTTTTCTGTTTCTGTGTTCTTTTACTCTTTTGTCCTATTTCAAATCACTTGGTAATCTGTAGCACTGGTCAGTGCTTCTTGGCTTCACATTAGAGTATTACAGTAAAAATGTGTTTGATTGGAAATGTATGGATCCAGATGTACATCAAGTTGGGCGTGAGCCTAAGAGGATTGGAGTCAGGATCATGTTGAATTGTACATGTATGAGTAGTTTATGTCCCTTTACCAAGTCCTATTTCACTAAGAGGTCACAAGCAGCACAATTTATTTACCTTATTTGGCCCTTTATGTGATTTGGGCATTTTGGCCCAAAGCTTCTCACACACACGCACACACAAAGAGAAAGAGAGAGACACATTTCTCTGACATTTAAAGTGGTGTAATCTATGCATAAATGATACCAGATATATATATTTTTTGTCTCCTCACTTTTTATTGTACATCCTAACTGAAAATAATAATAAACATTAATAAGTTTAATCAATTTCACACTGACTCTCATTCATCATCTTAACCTCCACGTTAGCAGTGACATAACCTGCAGCTCTGTTCAGAAGGGACTGATGGGGATTATGGTTTGCTCTTCGGAGTCTTGTGTTTATTTTAGGGGCTGACTGGACAAAACTGGATTAGCGACACAATGAATCCCCAGGCAATGGAACTCAGGGGTCAGCTCCTCGATGACCTTTGGCATTCAAATATTTATAAATCCTCATCTGTGTTGTGATTGCTATAAATAGGTCTGATCAGCAGACACTCTGGAGGGGAGACCACATTTGATAAGTCTGTAGATCTAGTGCAGTTACTGTTAGTACTAGCAACACTGTGGTGTTAGCTGCATTGCAAAAGGACACACACTTCCTCTGTGAAACTGCACAGAGCAGTGTGCTGGCGTCACAGAAGCAGTGGTTGGTGGTTCTTTATACATCACGTTCAAGGGCAGCACTGAGACATAGAAAATAGTATGTGGTGTTGTTGTTTTAGCAGGGACATCTAAACAAGTCAAAACCTGTAATAAAAATATGAACACGTGGTGTAATGATCAGACGTGGAAAAACAACACAACGTTATTATATAAGTATAAATATATAATTGTGTTATTGCAAAATGCTGCAAAGACACTAATATAAATGTGAATGTCTGCCACATTGGTTTTAATGGCTAATGAAACATGATAAAATGAAAACCAATTATTGCACCATATCCCTCTGTAGCTAATCAATAAATAACTTCTTTGTAAACCCAGGTACTTTCCCTCCAATTGATAAACTTTAGAATATTCCTCATAAACTGGCTATAACAGATATTTGGTCATGTTTTTGTGCAATATATAAAAGGGTAATATTTTACTGCATTCAGACACTTCATCCACTGTCACCATACAGTTTTATAGCCTTTGGCGCAGCTTTGAATCGGGAGCAAGCTCAGACTGGTGTGGAGGAAACCACCACAGGAATGCCATTGTCTGGAACATACAGGCCTGCTTGTTAATTTATACGTCTGTGATCTTGGTGAGAAGGAGCTTGAGAAGGCATTGTAATCTAACAGATGCACCGAGACATGCAGCCTATAGACTTGAGTGAATGGATTGGAACAACCCCAGATTGTTAATTATTAAGAGACCCACATATAGGCATTACTAATTAGATAATTAGCTTTAATATTCTCTCCAGTGGTTAGCAAATTTAGATGAATAGCTTTCATCCTCATGAAAACTGTCTTTAGCCACTATACATGGCATAGGCCTATATATACATTATGATTTCTTAGCTTTTAAATTTTGCTTAATTGTTTCCTGGTAAATAGAGCAAACTTCACTGTAAGGCTTTGTAGGCCAGAGCAAGTTGGACTTTGGGGTTTCATTGAGATCTCTTTCTGAGAGTTGCCCTTCCAAAGTTCAGAGTGTATCAATAGTTAACCCAGTGCTGTGCAATGCCAGGAGCCTCTGCACTCGCTTATCAGCCTGTTCGCGATAAGAAGTCTGAACCTGTTGCCTTATCTCTCAACATCAGTGCTTACAGCTCTATAACTGGTCTAGCTACATTACACTGACGGCTGCTCAAGAGGAAGAGTAAAGTCCACTTGCATTTACTGTACCAAAAGCTTATGCTGTACAAAGACAGCAGCTCTTTTTCCCATTTATATAGGAAAAGCATTGCGTTCTTAATAACGTGTCCTCATTTAAACTCTGATGTTTTAAATCCCAACCTCAAAGTGTTTTCTAGAGATTACTGCCATTAATCAGTGCCATTAAAGCAACAGTCAGCAGATGTAAGTGTAGCACATAATATAATCATCTGACCCTATGCATTATGTGTTTATCCAGTCTGCATTAGAGCAGGTTCAGAGAGGGGCAGCTCTAGAGGCCCTTTCTGGTGTCCAATAGAAGAGAACCTTGACCAGTATGACCTTTGCTATGGCAATAATGGCATCCGTACCTACCTACCTTCATACATGTTACATAAAGGTGAATATTTTTCCCAAGTCCTTTCAAGTATACACCATTACTATATCAGGAAAAGGGAGTAACTAACATACATATGCAAACAAATCAAAACCAGTCTCAAATTTAATAAAAAGAACAATTTTATTTCCTTTTAACAAAGCCCATTAAGTACTAAAGAAAAAGGCCAGAACACGGTTAAATTTTAATCCAATTGTGCCTGGGACACCAACAGAGAAAGATGTGTCTAAAATAAAACCATTTGACCATGAAAGAAAAACAAAATCAGTTGGCAGGAAATACACATTAAGTACCATAAGGGGTCTTCCTTGTTCAAATAAAATACATAGCATTTCACTTTAAAATCTACATTTTACACTTAGTCAATTATAAAGGCCTGCAACTAATTCAATGAAAAATGAAGAGTGCTGTTTTTCTTTTGTTTGTTTTACAATTGTGTATAGTGTGGACAATAGTTACCTTTCCCAACTTGTGTGGACTGGTATCGTGTTGAAATACAAGTTCCACAAACTAATTTGGGCTTAAGTATTACTAAAATTTGACATGTCAGTGAAAAGAGAATAAATCAAAAATACATTGTAACAACAAAGAGAAAAAAAAGCACATTTCTGTGTATATTTCTGAAGCCATTTTGTACTGTTATGGGCTCTTGTTTCAACCAAAAATGGTCAATTGGGTGGTCAAAAGTATAACAGTCATATCTGAAACTGTACCTGAATTGTGGACTTTTGGTTAAATTAAAAACACTGAGATGGATTTGAGGGTTTCACTGGCAAATGCTGTCCTTTGGAAATATGAAAGAATTGAAATATGGTGATCCACCAGTGTAGACAAAGTGATTTTCTGATACAGAAAAATACTAAGTGGATGATGTCTACGATTTTTAATATGAGCATACAGCAGTTGCAAACACCAGGCTGCTGTGAGTTAAGTGAAAACATATACATATTTATTTACTTATTTATTTATATTTTATAACAAAATAAATCTATGCTGTTGTATTCACTGTGAGTAATATGGGGTGAAAATATGCAGCGTTTTTGTTGCAAATCCCACTGTAGCATTCTCTGAGTTCACTGACATCCAAAACTGCATGTTGTTTAACTCTGTAAGAAATAGTACTGTGAATGTAGCAGCTTGATATTCACAAGGCTCTGCCTGAGAACAGCATTACTTTGAAGCAAAAAGACATAGAAAATAGTCATCTTTTAATCTATATAGCGGTTGTTAATTTCATTATAATAAAATGTATGTTTCTGTTATAATCTTAAAAAAACATAAATCTGCTCTGTATGTATCTTGGCATTTTGACACAAAATATCCTCTTGGATTTTTACATCGGAAAAATACTTTAAGCAATAAAACAAGCTTATATTGTGGGTTGCAACAGAAAAGATATATCTAAAAATAAAGAATTGCATAGCAGATCAGAATATAAACTCTAAGCAGGAACTGATTTTTGGTATGGTGCACTTCGATTCATGACTTTGCACTGTGTATGTACATAACAAAATCCATTCATAGTTTCACCTGCCAACAGTAGAGATCAAGTTTACTTCTAATGCTCAACATTAAGAAGCCAGAGTCTGTCTCTGCACTTCACATAAAAGTCCCTATAGGAGTTTCCCCCTTCAGACATCAAAAAAAGTCACAAAAACTTAGTTAAAAGTGCCATTTTGCTACATTTTTAGCTGATCCATGGTCTGCTCTTTAACAGTTAACACAAATCCTCAAGCATCACAACGCTTCCTGATTTGATGAGTTTTGGTCACACACTTGCAGGCATCTACACACAGAAATCCTCGCTCAGAATCGAACATAGCATGAAAGAAACGAAGTGGAACAACAAATGGTGGCAAGTGGGACGTATCCATGTGAACGGTGCAGACATTCCAGCTGGGAAAGCTTTGGGAGGAACAAGCACCAATAGAAGGCCTCACATGTTCTCCACTGCAGAGCTCAGTCCTTAGTTCGTCCACAAAGGGCAGAGGACAAGTACATTCAGAGAGCTGCTTGTGGTCAGCCTAAGTCACTGAAATGGTCCAGGCTTTTATGTGTTTTCTTTCTTGTCTCCAGTCTGAGTCTTGCTTGTGTAAACTGCCTTGAGGCCTGTCCTTGTGTCTACAGACTGGTGCGCTCCTCACCGTCTCTGCTGAGCATACACTGGGTATGCTAACGTCACATTTAGAGAGTCATTGTGCTGGACCAAGGATGTATGCTGGTAGTGAAGTACAAGTTCTTTCAAAGAGCTGTATAGGTTGTAGGGTTCTGCGAAGCCATAACCTGATGGTGTTTTGTTGATGACGCAGTGCTTGGCCTCACCATCCACGCTGCAAATACAAGTAACAATAGGATCAACCACAGGTCTCGTCCCCCATGTCCCTTCAATGATTCAACACTTAATCTTATTGTGATACGTACACAACACTGCAGGCGTAGCATCCAGCCTTACTGCTGTCCCGAACCAGGAATGTACCGTCTCTCTTGCCCTGCAGCAGCGCCTCAGCCTGGAGTCTGTTTATGTTGCCTAGCTTCCAGGAACGCTCGTCGTGATGAGGCAGGTCTTCATCGTCCTCTACCATAGAATATTGACTGAAAACAAATGGACGTTAATACAATTACACAACATTTACCTTACTACAGGATCAAAAGGAAACTCACTCTTCTGTGTTCTCGTTCTTGATTCCCAGCCACTCGTTGAGCTTTTTCTGTCTTACTCCTTTCTGGGTCAACCACCTAAAAAACAGAACAGAGAGAATCCAGGTTAGACACGCTTTAATATTCTCAAGAGAGGAGCATGCAGGCAAAAGTGATAAACATACATTAGATATTGGTCTCTGGTCTTGCGTAGTTGAATGAGATCAGGCTTGATGCTGTTCATTCTCTTGTCAATCTCTCTGTAGTCTGCAGTCTGCTTCTTCAGATCCTCCTCCAGGCGCCGCTTACTGTCCACAATTTCACTTATCCGAGATTTCAATTTCTCATAGTTCCCCATGATTCTAAAATGAAAACCAATTCATTATTGTTTATTCAGTCAACTGTGTAACTCTGCATTCTGAAAAACATAATACGTACCTTTGAATCTCTTTGTCATTCCCTTCTCTTCTAAACTTCTCAATATACTCTTTGCTGTACCGCTCTTGTGTTTGGCATTGCTCTTCGAAGATCTTAATAGTTTCATTAAATGCTTCTATCGCTGTGCGTTTCATTTGAATTTCCTAGAAACAGAAACATCTCATAAGAATGTGTAAAAGAAAGTTAATTAAAATGTGATGTATGGATGAGCACTCACTTGTGATGTTCTTGTGTATTCTTCATAGAGACAATCATACTCCTTGTTCTTTTCCTGGTACTGCTGATGGTACTCGCACAGCTTTCTACCTACTGCTTCAATGTTGTCCTCTTTCACTACTTGATCCTGGAGAAACAATCATAACTTGTTAATCTTTAAGACATGCACAACGGTTGGTCCATCTTACAATAGTGAACAGTTTACCTGTTGATGTTTAGATACAGGGTACAACAGTTTGACGTCTAGTTTTGGGTTGTATTGAGCCAGGGACTCCGTGCGGTAGTGGTTGATGAGTTCAACAACTGAGCTAAACGTTAGTGGATCGGAGAAGCCGTACTTTCCATCTCGATGAAATATCTTTATGAGTTTATTGTTGCCCCCTTTCCTGTAACCAAATTTTAAAAAAAGTATAAACAAGGAGAAAATTTGCTTTTGATCCACTTTATTTGTATAGAGCTGACCTTAATGTCAGAGTGTAGTCTCCGTGCATTTTGGTAGAGGCATCTCGCACCAGAAAAGTACCGTCTGCGGTGTCCCTAAGTTTCTCATTCACCTCTTCCCTAGAGATGTCGCCCCAGTACCACTCGGCGTCTTGAAGAGCCATGTTATTGTTCATACCGTTGTTAGTCACAGGTGGAGGCTTGAGTGGCTTTGGAGGTAGAGCTGCAACATAAAAGTACCCTCAATGCAAAAGCAGATTTCAAACGGTTTTAACCAAGGAACACTTTGTATCAAGAGACAACCAATGTGACAAGTGTGTGTGCTTTTTATTGATTAAACTAGAGAGCAGTGTGCTGGGAAATTGTGAATAAAGTCAACTAATGAGAACACTTTTCTAGATTAACTCCAAAAAGTAAATGTATAATGTATGTGTCATTTGTGTGGGACAATCACAAAAGTGACTTTTAAAACAACAATACAGATCTCATTCAAACATCCAAGCACAAAAAGTGATTAAGTAGAATCAAAAGGCTTATTTTTACTATATTTAAAAAAGTAATAGGTTATTACACTTAGACATCCACACATGTCAAAACGTGCAGTGGCTGCCCAAGAGTGAAGCATAGCTGTAGCTGAACCAAGGCAAGTGGCTATTTTTAACTCACAAATCTGCACTGTCTTTGTTCAGTCCCTCTGCATTAACACCCTTCCTGCTGCAATGAACCACGCAGGACTGCCCATTCAGAGCTCTTAGCACACTCCTACACAGGCTACAAGCACATATCAAGCTCACAAAACAACTTCTTTTGTTTAAATGAATGACACTTTGCCTGCTAACAAGATCAAAATTTAAACACAGAGCTACATCATTTTACAAGCTAGACACTGGACAAAGTCCCCAGAGCTACACAAAAACAATGTGCCTATTTTCCACTCTGTTAAAGTACAAATATGAGTTTTATCCAGCCAAATCTGCATCAGAGGTAGCCTGCTCAGTAACATGTTACATCACTTACCACAGCCAATCACATTGGGGGTATGTCCTCCACCATTCCAGCATCTTTCTTACTCTTACAGCAATGAGATCATATAAAAGCCTGTCAGCTCAGAACTGCTTGTCTCCTCAGAGCTGCAGCAAGCTGTAGTGAAACAGCCTAAAGAGAATAAAAATCCTCCATGACTGTAGCCGTATGTCCTAGTGCCTCCATGAGTAGGATCTGTGGGTTAGCAGGAGGAGCCAAGCAGCCGCAGCCTGGTCCATGCTTTTCCAGCGTCATCATTCCCTCCCTCTCAGACTCTCCTGCAGCCTGTTTGGCCCCACCCCCACGTGTGTGTCATGCCGAGCTATAGTCCGCCCCTTTGCTGGCACTTGAGACAAAGCCAGCTCTGCTGCTGCAGCACGTAGGCAGCCAAATGACAAAGCCAGGGCCGGTCAATGGCACCAAAATACGCCTGTAATCCCACAGTGACACTGGGCTCACTGCACTACAGCTCGATTTCCTCAGAGCTATTAAAATAGATGTAGTTCTCAGTAATGTACAAAGATTAAGTGGAACAGTGTCCTGTTTCACAGTGTCCTTAAGGTGAGCCCTACACTTTTAAAAGCACCTGCATGTAATAAATTGCCAAAACTCAACAGTTAGAACAATCTAAGTTCTAAACGTTTCCTTTGTTATTTTCCCACATTAAATTCAGACACTGTCTTATACATGCACATCTATACATGCACATGCAGCACTATAAGATGCCAATGAGCATGGACTGTAGTGAGGCAACCTGCTCATATCATCCGAAATAACAAGAGGCACATAGTTGCCTGAGACGAGTGACAAGACAGAAATGTTAAACTATAGCTAAAGTACCTACCACCAACCCTCTGTACAGTTACTTTGTGCCACGCAGTTCTTTCACTAAATAAAAATATAAATAAGAGATAATACACTTACGGTAGAGGTTATGCATATTTTGTTGTCATTCCAAGTAGTTTAACTGTGTCCACCACATTTGGTTCAAACGACTGCATAGAAATGTATTCTACCAAAAGGCCAAAACGTGTAGAAGGCCTCTCTCAAAACAGTTCTATTAAAATCCAGGTAATCCGTACAAAGTAAGGTCAGGTGCGAGTACTGGGTTCCTGCCTTGAGCACACTTGCCTGTTGCTGACTCTGCCCTGCTGCGGCCTGCTGCTGCTGTGCAGGCACAAGGTTAATGATTAGCACTAGCTCGAAGCACAGCCTCACGCCACATACGGGTGTTGGTCACTCCCCCTTCCCTTCTCTCTCCCTCAGTGTTTGTAAAGGAGGAGTCAAAGGGTGTTTCAACTTATGATTAACTTGCAAAGTTTCAAATATTTGCTGAGCTCGGCACTTTGAGGCAAGGAGAACATTTGGAGAGCCAGAGTAAAGCAGTGAGCCAGGGAGCAGGCCTCAGTTTAACAAGAGGAGCTCTGTGGAGCACGTCAACTTTCCAACCAACCAAATCTAACTGGGCCTTTTGTCGCTTACTTAAAATAGGCACGCAGTCACCAGGAGTAGGCCACAGTGCACATGCACACACCAGCCATTCACAGAAATCTACAGACAGAATGTACATGTCTTTACAAAGAACTGGAAAATTATCACTGTGCGGGCCCAGATTATATTTGAAAACTATGACACCAAAGCACTGGATAAGAACAATATAAACTTCCAAATCAACAAAAACAAAAATATTTATTTGTATCAATGAGGTTTTGTCAAAATGTGTAAGCCACCAACTTTTCCTTTCAGTCTGTCTATTCACTGCTCTCCCACCCAGGCCAGAGTGAAACTACTCCTGCAGGTGCAAATTACTGACAGCCGAGACTTGCTCAAGCTCACGACATTATAAATAGCCCTAACAGGTAATAAAATGTTTAAACAGCCTGGGCCAGAGATGGGCCTCTGTGGCAGCCAACAACAGTGCTTTTAACTAGAGCTGTAAAAACATAATGAAGCCACGTACAAGACTGCAATGGTCTACAACAGTTGTCATTATAGAACAAGATTTAGTTTGTCTGTTACTGTTCATGTCTTCCACATAACTGTTGAGTTTGTACAACACACTGCACTAGGGTTGTCAAAAGAGATTCTGCCAAATACAAACTACCACCAAGACAAAAGTAATATAAATATGTGGATTGTGGCCGTGCAAAGAGATGAAGTTAAACATATTTGAGTCTGTATCGTGCAATTCATTATCTGAGCTAATACTAATACACACTATACAGAACTACATCAATAACAAGGTTTCACTACGGTTTCACATTCGTCTTGAGTATGGGTTTTTTCCAGAGTAATAGTGCAGAAAATATGTTTGAAACAGGAACATGATAACAACCCTACTTTGCACTGATATTGAATTAAATGTATATGACATTGGGAAAAGGTTTGAATAGTCCATTGTAAAGATGTTGTTACCTGGTGCTGCATTGCTGTCTGCCCATTCACTGGCCACCAAAACTTCAATGATCCTGACGTGGGTATCCGAGCTGGGTTCACAGCTGTCGGCAGAAAGGTTGAATGTATTTAGGGCAGATAGTGCAGAGAAACGATGCTTTGCTGTTAACGTGCATGCATGTGTGTGCTGTGAGCCTGTGTCTGGGTGCCACAGTATTATATGTCTGAGTAGGCACACTTGAGCCTGTCTATGGCCTGCTCTATCTTTGACGCAGACTGCAGTGTGAGTGAGGGCTGTGCTCTGCTCTCACCTCGAGCTTTGTTGTCTGAAAAGAACCGGGCTGAAGATCTCACCCAGGGCCCGTGCAGACAGCAGGTTCTTGGAGCCGTTCTGACACACACGGCTGAAGTGCCTGAGCAGACACTGGAGGGTGAGCCAGTACTGTGGAGGCACACCCGGAGAGCTGAAGATATGACGCAGCAGCTGGCCACACTCCTCTGGGCCTGCTACTTCTGTACAACCAGAAAGCAAGTTTAAGCCTTTGTTCACAAAACCAACCAAAGAACACTGAAGCAGAGGATGTTCTCTCAAACAAAGAGGCGATGGAAAAAAGTGTCATGTGCAGTCGGTTACAAGCCGCAGAGACACTGTGCGGTTGACAATGAGCGTAAGGTACACTAGCAGGTGATTGGCTGCTCACAGATTGTACAGATAAACTTTCAGGCTTGTTTTAGTTCCTATTAACCACAGATATCCTGTTTCTGGCCCTGTGACAGCAAGAGAATGCAGCACGACTGAGCAGAGTGTGGTGTGAGAATTTGGTTACTGCTTGCACTCAAAAAGTTGGGTAAATGTAACATTGCTCTGAGATGCACAGAAGAAGAACTATAAAAAGCTTTTGGAACAAGAGTTACTGACGAGGAACTGAATGTTCAATTAGTAGTGCAGCGGAGATTTACGTCAGCGCTCTGCTTCAGTGGAGTAAACAGTCATATTTCAAACAGAGTAACAACATTGGCTCTCACCTTTGGCTGTGTGGACTATTTGAGTGTATAATGCAGTTGGGATAATAGGCTGGGGCAGATCCTGCAAGTACCTTCGCAGACTGTCACAAAGGACAGGAAGTTCAAGTTGATCCACGTCCATAGAAGAAGGGTCTGAAATGTATATTTTCATTTCATTATTTGTACACACAGCTTTTATATAAAATACTACTACATTTAGGATCCTTACCACAGTCATAATACTGTCGAATTTCAGCACCGCCTCCTGCTGTAAACGTTCGATAAAGTGTTGGATTCTCCAGACCTGCACAAAGAAATTTGAAATATAAATATATGTGTAACAGAAATGAGGCCAGTTTAAGAGTGAAACATACCGTTTTTCTCGATAGCCTGAATCAGCTGTACTAGCAGGGGGGGCGCTGTCTCCGGTACAGTGAACTGTTCAGTCAGGTCCAGGAGACATAAACCTGGGGAATAGGATCAAAACCATGAATCATTTGCCAATATTTATATTCATTCAGGTGAACATTCAGCTTAGTACAAGAAATCAAAACACACTACTTCCCTGGGATCCTAAATTTGGTAAAAAGGGAATAAGCACTGACTTCAGTAGTCAAGAACAAGTCAAAGACAAAATATTTTAAAATGAAAATTATGAATTGGATAGTTGTGCTTTTAAGGTGGCATTGCTACCTTAGATAAAATATTGTTTTCAAATGCAATCTTTGCACTGTCCTTTTTTTATATATATAAATAAATCAAATAAATACAATATACACAACAGAAGTAATCAGGCTCAACAAGAGACCTAATCCCTCGAAAGGCTGCAACATTTGTAGGATCTTGGATTCAGTCTCACAACGCAGGCAAGCTGCTGCAACTTAACCACTACATCACTGGGACACATCAGGTTTAAATCTAAATCATCATCATTTTTGATAATGGAAGAATGATGACTGTAAGAACATTAAATGGCAAAGCTGCAGTAAGCTAAGCATGTTCTCCGAACCTGACTAGCACAGAATTACAAGTTAAACTTCAAACACAAGTGGTCATTACAGCGGGCTAACTGAAGACCAGAGGTTGGCAGTGGAGGTTGAAAGCCTGGGTAAACAGACTGTGATATGAGTTAAGCCAGGCCACAGGTCTAACTTACTTTTTCTTCAGAACTTTGTCCCCAGGTGTAGACATGAAAAGATCAAGGACTTGGACAGGATTTTATTTGGATTTGCAAAGGTGTATTTTGAAAAGGATATGTTCTGAAAGACGGGCCTGTTCAGCTAAGTGCACAAAATCCTCAGAAATTATAAATGGGAGCTTTCTTGTAACCTTTTTTTTTTCAAAATGAAGTTAATTTCAATTTATTCAGAGTGACTTTCAAGATGCATTCTATAAATCAAAATCATGACTTGCTAATCTAGAGCCTTTTTGACTAGAGCGGATGGCTAGAAGAATCCTCCTCACACGCCAACACACAAGACTGCATGTGGGACAACGAGTCATCTGGAAGATATCACAGGAACTACTTGGCTGTGGAGGGGCAGGCAGCAGGGGGTTCTGAGAAGTGAGAGATGGAAGGCCAGTGGTCCTTAAATAGAGAGGGAGACATGTGGAGCTTCCATTGCACAGCCCCAGTATAACCTTTCTGTGCCCAGATATGCTACTTGTTTCTGAGAACCTCATGGTCAGGGGTCCAATGCACGCAAAAGGCAATGATCATATTCAGGGTAAATCAAGGGTAAATCATACTAGATTATCTTACAGCATGTGTAGGTATTCTGTAAAATGCTTTAGTCACGGAAAAAACACTTTTCTGACAAAATATTGCATTGTCTCTAATTATCTTCACTGAAAACTGAAAATGTGCCATGTTAGGATGAATCTCATCTATTAACATTATTGTTATGAACAATATAAAGCCATGCGTATTGCCACATTTCCTTAGTAACAGTGACTAAAAAGAGAAGAAGCATGCAGCCCCCTGTGTTTATTTACCCCTGTGAGTGACAACAGACAGCAGTGATACAGTTGCTTCTTAGTACTGTCAACGGCAGGATAGTTTGGCGCCAATGGAATTGGATCAAGTAGCAGACAAAGTATGGTAGAAATGTTTCAATCTATTTGAGGGAGTTTTAAACGCCCTGGCAGAGGATCAAACAATAAGCAAGTTCCTACATGATTTTTTGGTCTTTTTCTGATGCTTCTTGCTTCTCTCATGCCCGGATGCATTAGCCCATGATGGAGCAAGGGGTGCACTGTGTCCACTAGTCAATCAGACTAGTTAAGTTAGAGATATACAGCTGCTGCTCACACCGAGTCTGAGCCTGTGTCACACCACAGCAGGACTGGCCAGGGCACCAGCACACACAAGTAACAGATGTACAGGAGGCACTTTTACCTTGAGCCATACCAACTTATTTGAGAGGAGCTTAGCAAGCAAATAAAAAAAGTTATAAAAAATACATTGCCAATTACTACACATATTACAGTGGCATGGTAATCATAGATTTACAGGATATATTAAGAAATGTTTTAAAAAGTCATGTGTAGGGAAGTAGGTCAGTTTCAGACAATAAGAACAGTAAGCATAAGAGAGCTCATGTGAAGGCAACATCTCCCCCTGCAGGATAGAAGATGTACTGCAAATGCTGAATGACAGCCAATCAGGACGCTGTTGCTACAGCCTGCCAATTAACCCTGTAGTGAGCAGAGAGAGGCCTGGCAGTTCAGCTGAGGTTTCTGTAGTTACACAAGAGATGAATTAAAGGCCGCTGAGGTTCCTTAGGACATCAGTGTCATTTATGTGGGCAGTAAGAAACTGATCTGACTTTGAATGGTCTTCACTTACCATTTCTATATGATTGGTTATAGAAACAATGATAGTCATAGATAATAATAGAAATTATTTGAGAATTCAAATTAAGCATAGTCAATATATTGGTACCAATATAAATATCTGATAATGGGAATTTTTCATAGATTGTATCTTAAAAATTCAGGTATATCAAGCCAATATAAAGTGTGACATTCCCAGTTTGTACTCAGTGCTTGAGATTGGTCAAACAGACTAGACAGTTAAACTGCGAATAGAAGCTCAATGAAGCTATAGGAGGCTGTATGTGAAAATTATTTGTAAATAGTCAAATAGTCATCATTGACAAATTTGGCTGTGGGCCACATGAGCAAGCCAACTGAAACTTGGTATTATCCTCAGTTCATACTGAAACTGGTAACCGCTCAATTTTAAACACAGACAGATAAATAAAAAGATAGGCACTATTTTCATAAGGTGCAGCAGTGCTTGAACATACAAAATGAACATGGTTTCTATTATGTGTTCTTTTCTCCCAAAGATTTACATAATGCCACACCAACAACACAGCTTTGCAAAGGAGCCGATGTTTTAGGACACCGGCTCTTTAAAAACACACTATTTGAAAAAGCTCTAGCAGGCCAGCACTGGAGGTTTTTACTGACCTCATCTCTTGCTTTTTGTCAAAGTCTCAGTCTGCCTCAGCCTCTCTCTCTTAATCCGGCTTGCAGACAAGCTATTAGTAGTAGCAGCAGCAGTAAAGAAGATTTAAATGAGACACTACACATTTCCCAATCTTGTGAATTACAAGTGTGCAGGATTTTATAAAACTTTTTTCATCTGGTGGATACGAGTTTTATTTTACAATCAAATCAAGCAAGATACTAATACTAGTAATATGAGCAAACTACAGTTACAGTCACAGTTAAATTACTTTTATTCAGTAAGTGACCATAGCATTCTAATTGTTTAATGAAAAACATGATGCAGTCAGTCTAACTAATTGTTATAAATAAACAAACAATGAAAATGAACAAAATGAGTATTGTAGAAAACGCTAAGGAACAAACACTCCAACTGTATATACCCAACTAATGCTATAGGTTGATCTGGAATTGGACAAAGATCTAGGCTAGTTACATGAGAAATGTCTATCACATGA